GCTCTCTCTCTCTCCGTCACTCTCTGTCTCTCAATCTCTCATTCTCTATTCTTTCCCCAATTTTTCTTCCTCTGATATCCTCTATTTTTTATCCTTTCATGTTGTATATATTTTAATGGAATTCATCAATGGATTTCAATCGTTTTACTATAGAGTTTTAACTTAGCAATTTCCTTTCATGTTGCACAATTGGTGTTCAAATTGAAATTGTCAATCAATAAATTTTGAAGGTGTTTGACTCTCTACCATTGACAGCCATTAAAAAGCTTTGAATTCGAATTTGGGTTTTAAAAAATCATTATTTATTTAGATTGGGTGTTGTTGCAAATAATTGAAATATTGTTTGAAGTTTATATTTCAATTTTGAGGGTGTTTGGTGAAGATTAGACTTGATTTTGGCTAAATTTTATATTGAAATTCGAAAAAAAGAAGAAGGTTCACATGACATACCATATACTTACGAAATTGTAGTATAATTGTATGTAAATTGTATTCTGTTGTAGTTATATATATTTTTTTATTTGAATGTTGTATGAAAGTTGAAAAATAATTGTATAATGTATGAATCGTTGTATAAAATTTGTATTTAAGTTATCAATACTATCTTTTTACATAAAGTTATTGATATGTATCAAAATTGTATTAAGAGAGAAAGTTTTGATTGGAATTTTAGAGAGGAAGAAACACACACCACATACAAAATATATACAAATCAGATACAAAATATACAAAAAGACATATTGTATAAAATTTGTATGAAAATTGTATTTAAGTTGTATGATATTGTAGATGTATTTTAACTGGGTAAAAATAATGTATGAAAGTTGTAGATAAGTTATAAATAAGTGTATACTATATAATTAGTTGTATGAAATTTATTTTTAGTATGTATGTTGTTGTAGATATATCAATTTGTATTAAATTTGTATGAAATTTATTGTTAATTTTGTATGTTGTTGTACCATCAAATTGTATAATATTAATTGTAAGTACGATGTCTCCATTTTAGTGCTGATTTAAATATGTTTCGTTAATTTGTGATATATTAGTGTATTTGGTAAGTTAACCAATCAAGTGAAGCAAAATACTTTACTAGCCCCGCACGATAGTTATTAACCTCGTAAAATCTTTGGACAAATTTTGATACATATCAACAACTTTATGCAAAAAGATAGTATTGATAACTTAAATACAAATTTTATACAACGATTCATANCAACAACACCCAATCCAAACAAATAATGATTTTTAAAAACCCAAATTCGAATTCAAACTTTCAAAGCTTTTTAATGGCTGCCAATGGTGGAGAGTCAAACACCTGAATACAAAAAACTCTTTACTGCTCATCGTCGAGGAGGATTTTCATCCAACTCATTTCATCCAATTTTGGACAGCAATACAATGCTTCAACACAGCCATTCAATGAAAAATCCAATCACCTTCAAATAGTTCAATACCAATTTTCACTTATCACTTGTACAGACAATTTCTTGAAATGTTTGGAGATGTGGTAAATATTCTCATCAATGTCTTTACCTGTTCTAATATTTCTTTCTTTTTTCAATTTTTCCTACATTTCTTGAAAGGGGAACATACTGATGGTCAAAATCTATTAGTAGATTTTATCTCATATGATTCTCGCGGTCTTCTGTTTGATTGAATTTGGAAAGGAAAATGCTTATTGAAAGAGGTGTGGAGAGAAAATAGGAAAATGATGTAACTAAATCCCCTAATTTAAGGCATTAATAATGGATTGTATATAATTTGTAAGTAATCCTTGTTTAGGACGGGTAATATACAAAATTAGGACAATTTTGGTAAATAAGTTTCAAATATTGTATAGGAAGGAAAAAATCCCTTTGATGAACGGGATGGTTATATGCTTACGACTTGGATTGGGCTCGACTCTTCGGATTCGTGTGCTTGGCCCATTTTAAGTGGAGGCCCAATTCACTTTCGACACTCACCTTGAAAGTTGGAAATGAAGTCCAGATTACTCTTAAGTAAAACGGGCTCACAACCACAAGGGGTAGAAATGGCAGCATGTAGCCACTTTTAAGTATACTATTTAAAATATACTCCATCTAGAGTTTACAATGTATTTAAAGATTAACCAATTCACTCAAACTTCAAGACACGACGTTCTAAAGTTTAAACCTCAAAGTTCAAACTTCAGGACATCATGTCCTAAAGTTCGAAATTGTATCTAGAAACTCAAATCTTATGTGCTGAATTTTAAATTAGCAGTTCAAAAGTGTCCTGCATTTCAAATTAGCAGCTCAAAATTTAGGACACTATGTTCTGAATTTTGAATTAGCAGCTCAACAATTCAAGATACTTAGTCTTGAAGTTCAGATCAATTGGCTAATTTTTAAATATATTATAGATTATGGACATATTTTAAATAATGGGCTTAAAAGTAGCTACTGGTGCACTTCGCCCCTCACAAGGGTTACTCCATTGCTTTCTTTTTCTCATAAGATTAAGTGAAAGAAGAAAGAAACGAGAAAGTAACACAACATGAAGAAGAGAAAAAGAAGCATTAACATTAAGTAGCTTAAAGCTAGAATCTGTTTCTTTGGTGATACGTTGATTAGCTAGATTGTGTGGGTAGGGTATCACTCCTTTATATATTCTTATTCCAAAAGGTTTTGATGGCTATCTTTGAATGCTAATAGAATACTTTGGTCATGGAAAAGTAGGCGTGCATCAATCCTTGTAAAGATACACTTAACCTACAGATACACTTGTAAAGATAAAATCAATAATTTAAGTACTTAAAAGGAATATTTAGTCGGAGTCCACTATTATTGTTTGCTCGTTCCTGTTAAATGAATCTTCTCCATTTGATATATGACATCTTCTGGTCTGGTTATTAAAATTTGGTTCGTTTAAAGGGCAAATATCCCAACTTTTTTAAAGAAGTGTTCAAAATGTGATTAATTCCAAACTATACTCCGCGCAAAATGCTTCTGAGTATGAGTGTTATTCTTGTAAAATTTCTATAACCAAGTAGGATTCTAGGAATATTATGTTATTTATATCTCAGTTCCGTTTCTCAAAACTTTTCTGTCAATAAGAAGGTTTTTTGTACATTATCTACCTCTTCGACTCTTCACTCTTCCCTTTTCCATTTTATAAATGTTAACATGCTGAAACTTTGAACCTAGTTCCTCTTATTCTCCTTCAATCAACAAAATGAGAAATTGGGAGAAAGAAAAAAAAAGAGGTCTTTATTGAAGAGGCTTTGCACCTGAAATAGGACTAATGCAGATCCGGAAGAATGGTTTGGGCTTTCGAAAAGATGAAGATGCAAGGGGTAAAGAGACAGTCTTTTGAACAAGTAAGCTGACATAAGGATTCTAGCTCGCGCCCACTTAGAGCAGATGGAGATTCCCAGACGGGGAAAAGCGGCACTCGACATCTATTAAACAAGACCAAGAACAAAGCCACATAATTTTTTTCTTTCTTTTCCTTGGACACTTGCCTAAACGATATGCCAGAAAGAAATGCAGTTGACAGCATAATGGTTCTAACATTCTTCTTTGATATCTTAATAGTAAAATTAAACTCACTTGTAGTCTACACAGAGGCGGAGCCAAGATTTTAACTTAATGGGTTCTAAATTTGGGACCACGACTTCAAATATTAAGGACTGAGTTCTAGATTTTGGAACCACGACTTCAAGTGTTAATGACTAGATTCTAAATTTAATGTTTATACATATTTCATGAATTCAAAACACCAAATACAGAGTTTCAGCAAAAGCTACCGGGTTCGGTCGAACCCGAAGGGTGGCTTGTGCCTCCGCCCCTGTACATATGGTCGGTTCCCTTCATGTCTGTAAAAGAGTTTGAGTGCATTCATCCCAAAACATTAATACAATAGATGATATACCTCAACAACAACATACCCAATATGATCCCACAGGTGAGGTCCGGGGAGAGTTGGGTATAAACATATCTTACCCCTACCTTGTGTGAGGTAAATGGGCCGTCTCTGATAAACCTTCAGCTCAAAAAATAGATAATATAACTCAAAACCGTTATAAACTCCTTTGAAACGTATATACAACCAATGTGGGAAGTTGTATATCTCTAACACATAAGTGTAATCGGATTACAGGATTTACATGAATGTGAAACTTTATATTTCACTGGTTATTTATGTTTTTTGTTTTTCTTCTATGGGCTTAATTGTAAGGAGATGAGAAGTGGACTGAAAAAGAGAAAGTAGGCTCAACAGGTTGACACAATTAGTGGTTCAGTGAACTAAATTGAGATAGAAGCCAAGAATGATAAAGGAGGTAGAGACGACATATATGCCATTTTAACTCATAAAACCAATCGGACATACTTGAAATCTAATGCAAAAATTAGGCAAAAATGGTCGTTCTCATGATTCGTTCAACAATGGCGTTTTACTGCTGTCTTGCCACTTAACTAATCGATTTTTCGCTTTCTCCACCTGAAAACAGAAAGCGAGCTAGAGTGGTCAGAACCGATTTTTATACACACTATCTCGGTTCAATAAATGAGTAGTATATTTCAAGTATGAGGATCGACTCATTTAATTCTTTAAATTTAAAAATCAACCTTTTTTCATAATTTCAGAAATTAAAATGTTGTAGGAGTATATAATTGACTACATTTAGTGGTGGAGAAAACGTACCTCATCGTCCCAATTGGTTCGAAAAGTGGCCCATAGTAAGATAAGAGTTTGTATGGCTGTTCCTCCAAACATGCCCAGCCATAATCCCTACACATTTACCGAAAATTAAGTAAACAAGCTTGTTTTAATCACAAAAGAAATTACTAAAACACAATAGTCATTGAAATAGATGATAAGATTAAAGTGCTGAAAAGTATTTTTAAGCGCTGGAATTGATTTTTTAAATAAACATTTACGTGTTTGAATATAAGTGTTGAAACTGATTATAAACAATTGATGTGTTTGGTAAAAAAGTACTGATAAGATAACCTTAAAAATTTTACACAAGATTATAAGTTTTAAAAAAAATCTGTGAAGAAAAGGATGAACAACGAATATGGAATAAAGAGAGTTAGGAAATTTGTTTTGGGAAAAATATTTTGTGAATTAAAGAATATTATCAAGGATAAACTAGTAAAAACTTTGATCAAACTAAAAGTGTATATAAGCTGAAAAACTATAAGTTGAGGGTGACCAACTTATGACTTAACAGATTTTAGCTTCTAAGCACTTTAAATATTTATCAAACGCGTAGATAAGTTAAAAGCTGCTTATAAGCCAGTTTGACCAGCTTATAAGCTTAGCCAACCATCCTCTTTGTCCATTCTTTCATATATTTTCAAATGATTCTATTAGACGAGCTTTTTTCGGCCCAGTCTAGCATTTTGCTTGCGATTACACCAAATTGAAGACACAAAACCTGCTTATTAAGGAAAATAAAAGGAAAGAAAGGTTTAATTGTGGGGAAAATGGTGATAATAATATACCTTAGCTCCGAGTTTGAATTTGAAACCAAGAAGAACACCCAATGGAATGCCAACAACGTAGTAACATCCGACATTAACGTAAGCCACAAAACCTTGCCATCCACACCCAACAGCCACCCCTTCAATCAAACAAAATATATGTTCATATCATTAATTAAGGAAAAGTCATGCATTTATGCCGACTTCTATTTGCATTATCCCTGATAGTGAAATTCATAGTTGTCAGCATCAATAATCCTAAAGTACAAATCATTCTCCATTTTATAACTATACATTACTCCCTCCAGTCCACAATAAGTCACCTAGAGAAAAAAGATGTATTCACTAAATTAACCTTAATTAGTTATTACCTTGACACATTGAAATATGTAAATAAGGGTAAATTTTGAAAAAAATAAATTAATTCCTTCTTGATTATGTAAATGAACACTTATTTTGGACCAAAATAAAGTAAAATGATCACTTATTGTGGACCGTTGGAGTAATATTTTCTTTTTGCACAAGTTTTCTTAATGCAACTAATACCAATCCCACTCCATTATTTAATTTGTCTCGTTCTAAATAGTCTAAAGAAAATACATAGCACGGTATTTAATGTCTATTGTCCTGACGTTCTTGTCAAATCAAACTTCTAAAACTGTTTTTACGCATTTGCAAACAAAAGTCACATGCGTGTTCTTATTGAATTTCTCCTTTCTATAGAGGACTTCAATTTTAGATACAAGAGCTGGTCTTCGGTGTGGGTATACCTTTGTCCTTCATGTGTGTGCAAACAACATCCAAGGTAGTTTTTGTTTGAAATTTTGCAAAGATGTGCAAGTTCTATTTGTTTGAATTGTTTTCGCAAAACAAGTTATTCCCTCCCGTCCACTTTAAGTAATTTTTTGGTCTTTTTTTGTGATCCATAATATTTGATTTTTTCAGATATCAAGAAGGAATCTAGTAGGGGTGTTCGTCGGTCGGTACGGTATTTAGACATTTCAGTTTGGTATTTTCGATATTCAGCTTCTTAAAATGCTATACCAATACCGTACCTAATTATATTCGTTATGAAACCCAACTTTGGTTTGTTGGGTTTCAACATTAACTAGTGCATAAAGCCATAGACCATAATATTCTTAATTAAAATACTCACAAATATAAAAATAAAAATGTTCTAAGCTGACATGACTATTGACAAAAACAATCAAGTATCAATCCATAGAGAGAAAAGATACATAAAGGAATAAATTTAATTATTAAAAATGTCTTGTTACTTGGTTAGAGCCATTTGTTGAAGTTAGAGAACAAACATCCTAAAACCGTAAAAGTATTAGGTTAAGATGCTTGGCATCCTAAAGAAAAAGAGTCAAAATATACGGTCTACCTTGTTCCTCCATTTTCCTTAAAAAGTACATGGACTCTACTGCCTGCTTCAACATGCATACCAAAGAAAAGTATTATATAACTTAGTATGTTATAATCAATAATGTGTGTATTGTAAATACCAAATACCATACCTAATACTATTTTTTTTAAACTTAAACCAAACACCAAAATATCGAATACCAAATACCAAAATTTTCGGTTTCGGTACTGTAATTCGGTATTTACCAAATTATGCACAACCCTACCTAGGAGTAGTTTGTTATATTTCCAATGAGCAAATTAAGGTTAATATGGTCAATTTAATTGTTAATTAATGTTAAAAGGTGAATTCCTTAGTATGTGTGAAAAGAGCCAAAAAATCACTTAAAGTGGACAAAAGTAATGTTTTAAGATTAAAGAAAGTTTCCTAATTACCGAGATATTCCAATTTCAAAACAATGTTAAAGATATTCCAATTAATAGTCTATTCCATTAATTCTCTTGATTTTCAGCAGAATCCTAAGATACAAAGTTGATGGAAGACTCACCAGATAAAACAGGTTGAATACCATTGAGAACTACAGAGGCAGCCAAGAGTGGTGCAAGTTCTGAGGATGCTTTAGCAATAGTTTCCCCGCCCGTGAATGCATAACTCATCACATCGCGAAGCAACATTACTACTATGGCGATGACTACAGCAATCACGAACGAGCTTAATGTCACCACCACAACTGAAAATGCAGCTGATTTTGGATGTCCAGCGCCCAATTCATTGCTCACCCTTACACTGACATTTCCAAAATTCAGAGTTTTTGTAAAGAGACTGAATGATGTAGAATTTCAGTACTAGTCGATCACTAACCTTGCTGCCGCATTAAAACCAACAGATATCATGAACACCCATCCAAGAATTGTGTTGCTGCAAGCAAATTCTATGATCATCAACTACACATTGACACGGGTGGAACACAATGCAGAGGTAACTAATTTACAACAAGATATCCCACTCACCAAACAGCTAGAGAGTCCAATGCCACTTCAGGATTTGGTAGCAAACCAGCAACTAAAACCAAAATCTGAAAGTACCACGTCTCCAAACACAACATCACAGATGAAGCAGCTGACAACTTAAAGAAATCCCACAGCCCAGAAAATGCTTGCAGACTAAATCCGCTCCACGTTTTCTTGCATTTATCACTCCACAATATGTACATAAATTGTGCAATGACTACTATCCACCATGAAATACTTAGAACCAAGGCTCCTCCAAACAATCCCCACTCAAATACATAAAGCACAATCCATGTTAAGAAAAGATGGAGGACTAATGTCGCTGCAGCTATATACGCGCTAGGATTTACAATACTTTGGGCTTGCAAGTACTTTTGGATAGGAAAATTGGCAGCATAAGCAAATATTTGGGGAATTAAACCATAAACGAATAATGCAGCTGCTGATGCAACTTTCTCTGATTCTCCTAATAAGATTAAAATTGGCTTTGAGAATAAGTAAGCCACCATTATCGGTATTCCGGATAACATCAAGAGAATAGTTGATCTTTGAAGATATATTCCAAGACTTTCATACTTGTGAGCTCCATATGCCTGCCCACATAGTGTCTCCACTGCACTCCCCATCCCTAACTGCTCCAATAAAATTGTTTATTCAGTAAAAAAAAAAAAAAGCAGTCTGGTGCAAGCTTCCGTTAAGCGCGGGTCCGGGAAATGGCCGGACCACAAGGGTCTATTGTATGCAGCATTAGCAGAAGCTGTTTCCACGGCTCGAACTCGTGACCTCCTAGTCATATGGCCAGCAAAGAAAGCGCCATTGCCGGGAAAAGAAGCTCTGCTTATATGGTAGGTCGATTAACAACAAGGAATGGCAAGTCTACAACACTTGTATATTAACCTTAATTAGTCAATCAAGTTATTAAAATAATACTACTCCACTCCAAAAAAGAATACTAATAGCAATTGATTCAGTTTGTAGCAAATTAGTTATACTAGTGCCATGATACAAATATGTTAATTAATAGGGTAGGTGATAGAAAATTACCATGACGCCATAAGCCAAGAGTTGAATACCTTCATTGCCAAGGGAAGCAGCTGCGAGTTCAAGATTACCGAGATGGCCACAGAATATTTGGGTAGACATAGAAGTGATATTGTTGAGCAAATAAACAATGATTGATGGAGCTGCTAGTCGGAATAGATTTTTCAATTCAACGACAGAGGCCCGGCCAAGCTGCTCGAAATTGGACAAGCTTGTGTCAGACAATATGTTTTCAAGCTCAGAGCTTACATGCTCTACAGCCACCACTGGTTCTTTGGGTTCTAATAAAGGTTCCTTTGACCCTTTTTCTTGAAAATATTCATCCATGGTTTCTCTTCAGTAGACTCTTAGCCCCAATCTCAGATTTGTTTTTGCAGAAATTAGAGCTTTTGCCTGGACATCACTTTTAATCTTGAAAGAACAGAAGCTACTGAATAACAATACCGACATTAAAATAGTTTTACATTAAATTAAAGTCAAAAGGAAAATCATTGACGTAACAAATCACAATTACAAAAACTTTGTTTTTATCGAGCAGATGGTGGACAAGTTTTTCTACACGGTGGCTGTTAAGGGAATGTGAGAAGAGGGAAACATACCAAAAGAATAACGACAATCATGCCTTATCAAAAGTTACCCCACTTTGAAGCCACCTTTTAATTTTAATTCCAAGTAATATATGTTATCCCCTCGTTAACTTTTAATTTCAAAATCATTGTCTCCTCCTTCATTTTCTCCCTTGTACCCCACCACCCATATCTATGTTAAAATGTGAAAATAATAAACTTGTTTCTGTTTGTTTAGATTAGGTCATGAACTAGAATATTAATTTAGTAGTGTATTACTAACGCTTTATAACTTTTCTCTCTCTTAAAAATATTGCTCTCTGTACCTCAATACCTTAACCTACTACGGTAACTAAAATAGCCCTCTTTTGAGTGATTGGTGCTTACTCGCCTCATTATGGAGACGTCGACGGGAAATGTTCCGGCGCGTCTGAATGAAAATCCACCGACTCCAGACATGACAACTAGTATGTGCGAAGGAATTCCGATCTCATCCAACTATGTTGTAGCTTTGAAAGATTCGAAAGAACCAAGCCCTAACATAAGTCAATTTGGTAATCCATAAGTTAAAGCTCGATACTCCACCCACAATGGAATGCCGGCGGTTATCTTCAAGGCCAGCGACTACTATGGAATCATGGCAGAAGAATGCAGATTGACCATTGTCGGTAAGTTTCTAAGAACTCGACCTCAAATAGAGAGAATTCGATCCAAATTTGCTGAAAAAGTTATTGTCAAGGGCAATGTCAAGATTGGGTATAGACGCTCCATAGAAATAGAGGGGCAAGTTATGTGGCTGCAAAAATGACCTCCGGATTTCAAGCTGGAGGAAGACTCTCCTATTGTTCCGGTTTGGGTACTCCTTCCTGAATTGTCATTCCATTGCCACACTTGGCAGTACGTTAAGCAGATTGTTGGACCTATTGTCACTCCATTATCTATGGATTTGGCTACTGATCATACAACGAGACCAAGTATGGCTAAGGTAATGGTGGAGGTAGACCTTACTAAACCTAAGCTAGAGTCGGTGTTTGTTGGTCAGGAATATGAGACCAATCCGCTGAAAGGTTTTACCCAAAAGCTGGAGTATGAAAATGTCCCTAAGTACTATCGACATTGTAAGTTGCTAGGGCACTCAATTCTGCAATGTAGGAAATTTATAAAGCTGCCAGATGGATATGAAAATAACAAAGGAAAAAACATCACTGACGATAAGGATACTAACTCTAATCAGATTGAAGGGGGGAAGGAGACACGACAAACAACATGCAAAAATCTAGAAAAAATTCAACAAAAGTCTGAAGAGAAGGAACAAACTCTTGCCAAGATTCTTTAGGGCATTAAGGAAAAGAATGCTCAAAAAGTTACTAAAGAGAAACAGGGAGATCAAGCTACAGTCAATGACGAAGAAGAGGGACAAATAGTTATTGTTGTTACTAACAAGAAAAAGAACAAGAAGACCAAAACCAAGAAGATGCCAAAAAATAAGAACAAAGTGATATTCAAACCTGCAACATCACAAGGAGCAGCCAAGAAAAAGACACAAAAAAGTCACTCATTGATCCAATAGAACAACAATGATTCCAGAATTGAAGATTTGCAGCCCATCGATAGTCAATTAGATTAGAAAAGTACTTATGACACCTTGAACAATTTTAAAGAGAAGAACAACAGAGAACCTACTAATGTTAGCAGCACTGAACAAGATAAGGAAAATAAGGGGAATATATGAACAGAAGATGAGGAATCCAAAAATAATGACATAAAGGATGGGATGGAAAATAATCAAATGGTTGACAATAGAATGGAAAACAAAGAGGAGAACACCATCACTAATAGCGATGCATCAGATACCAATATCCCTAAAGAAGCTACAGAATCCAACTCCATGGGAAATAGTGAGAATGCCGAGGAGAACACAGAAGGTAACCAGATTCCAGACAACCCTCCAAAGGATCCTCTTGAGGTCACATCAGAAAAACACAAAGAAGTTATATAAGAAGATGAAAATGACAGTGATAAAGATTTACCTGGTGGCAGAGAAAGAAGCAGAACCAAAAAGACAGGAAAAAGGAGCAAAGCAAGAACTACACACTTTGTGAAAATGAGTACCCCCCAATTGTTCTAATGATCAGTGCAATCTACTGGAATATAAGGGGAGTTAGATCCAAAAAATAAATCCACAGATTAAATTATCTTATTTGTATCAACAAAGCACAATTTGTTGCCGTCTTTGAACCTTTTGTGAATAAGAACAAAATTTACAGCTACAGGAAGTTCTTGGACTTTCATAATTGCATCTCTAATGATAACGACAAAATTTGGTGTTTCTGGAGTAGCAACCTTAATGCCACTATTTGTGATAGTGAGGAAAAACATGTTACTATTAAGTTTGACAATGGGATTGACGATAATGTGGTCTTTATCACATCTATTTATGCTAAATGCACTTTTGCAGAAAGAATGGTTCTTTGGGACAACTTAGAATGCGTAAGCTATAACATTAATGCTCCATAGTGTATCAGTGGGGATTTCAACATCATTTCAGGTATCAGTAAAAATGTTGGAGGTAAACCACAGAGAATTCATAGAAGTTTTGATTTCATCAACTGTATGGATACTTGTGAGGTCACTGGCACTGGCTTCTCTGGTCCCAAATTTACATGGTGTAACAATATGAGACCTAATAAGAGAATATAAAAAAGGTTGGACAGGGTTCTTACAAATAATATTTGGAATCAAACATTTTAGAATTGCTCCATAATATATCTTGTCAGAACAGGGTCTGATCATAGACCTATCCTCATGAAATATTGGGACACCAATCAATCTGCATTCAAGTACTTTAGATTTTTTAATTGCTGGGTGGATCAACATGGTTTATTTGATGTAGTAAAACAAGTTTGGGAGGTTCAGGTTAATAGTAATCCCATGTGGAGGCTCCAAACTAAGCTCAAAAATCTCAGCGAAAAACTTAGTCATTGGTCCAAAAATGAGTTGGGTCATATTAATGATGAAGTGATCAAATGGGAGGAAAAGGTTCAAGAAATGGAAGATATGGACTTACCCAACGCTTCAGATCAGACTAGAGAAGAGTCTAACAGAGTTCATGCAAATACATCAAGTGGCTTAACATGCAAGAATCTATGCTTAAACAGAAATCTCATACCAAATGGTATGAAGAGGGTGTTAGTAACTCTAAGTACTTTCATTATTTTCTTAGAGAGAAGAGGAGAAAACTTCAGCTGAATGGAATTAAGAATGATAGAGGAAGATGGATCAAAGGGAATGATAAGATATCCAGAGCTGCACTGAAGCATTTTGAATCTATGTTTAATCTTCCTAAGTGTATTCTTAACCCCAACATCTTAGACTGCATTCCTAGTTGCATTTCTGAAGAAGACAATGATATACTGATAGCTTTGCCCAATGAAGAAGAAGTAAAAGAAGTTGTCTTTAGTCTTAGTACTTCGAGTACAGCAGGTCCGGATGAGTATAATGGTACCTTCTTTCAAAAATGTTGGAGCATCATCAAAACTGATATCTTGGATTGTGTCTTGTATTTTTTCAATGGTAAAAACCTTACCAAATTCTTCTCATATACTTGTCTTGCCTTAATTCCCAAAGTAAATGCTCCTACTACTTTCTTTGAATTCATGCCAATTAGTCTATCTAACTTCACCAACAAGATATTATCTAAAGTTATTTCTCTTAGACTCAATCCCCTATTACCCAAATCAATTTCTAAATGTCAAAGTAGCTTTGTCAAAGATAGACTTATCACAAAGAATATTTTATTGGCCCAAGAAATAATTTATGGCATTAATCAGCGTAACAAAGGGGGCAATGTAGTGATTAAACTTGATATGGCCAAGGCTTATGATCGAATGTCATGGCCTTTTTTAACGGTTGATCTAAGAAAATTTGGATTCTCTGAGCCTTGGATTGATTTAATTTACAATCTCATCTCTAGGGTATGGTATTCAGTCAATATTAATGGCTCAAGAAATGATTTCTTCACCTCCTCACAAGGGCTTAAATAGGGGGATCCTCCGTCTTCCTCCTTATTTATCATTGCTGTCGAAGTTATTTCCTGGTCGCTTAATGACTTGCTTCTTAATGACTATTTTATACCTTTCTCTATGCCACAAAAGGGTCCTCAAATCAATCACTTGACCGATGTTGATGATATTGTAATCTTCAGTAGTGGCAAGAGTAGTTCAATCAATCTCATCATGAAGTCAATCAGGAATTATGAGCTTAACTCTGGGCAAAAAGTCAACAAGAACAAAAGCTTTTTCCTGACTTCTCCTAAAACCACTGCCACCAGAATTAACAGAATCAGAGTCTGCACCGGCATATTGGATAAACAGTTTCCCTTCACTTATCTTGGATGCCCTTTATATGTGGGAAGAAAGAAAATTCAATATTTTGATAGTATGGTCAATAATGTGGTTCAGAGACTCAATGGATGGCATGGTAAAATGTTATCGCATGGAGGTAAAATTATTCTTATCAAACATAAGCTTCAGTCCCTTCCTACCTATAATCTCTCTGCTATGTGTCCCCTTAAGGGCAGTTTGAAATAACTAGAGAGGTATTTTGCTAACTTCTTCTAGGGTTTAGTGGTGAGCACAATAAGTATCATTGGATTGCATTCAAGAAAATATGTTTCCCTAAGGAAGAAGGAGGAATTGAGATTAGAAGCATGAAAGAAATCAGTGATACACTGGCCACCAAGAGATGGTAGAGATTCAGAGCCACTCCATATTTATGGGCAGACTTTATTAGATATAAATACTGTATCAGGGCTCATCCTAGCACCAAAGTGTGGACCTCTAAGGATTATTATTAATGGAAAAGATTACTGCAGTCAAGAAAGAAGGCAGAAACCAATATGGTCTAGTAGATTAATTCAGGAAACAGTAGTTTCTGGTTTGATAATTGGACAGAAAAAGGAATGATTCAGCCAATCAATTCAGAAGTGAGAAAAAGTACTAAAATTATGGTAGCCACTTTATCACCAATGGGAATTGGAATATCCAAAAGCTCAGTGAAGTTACTTCCCCTAGTGACATCCACCATGTTAAAAGCATTATCATAGGAAATCCAGATGAGAAGGATCATATTATTTGGAATTTGACTGAACATGGAAGACATTCTAACTCCTCAGCTTGGCATATGAATAAGATCAGAAGACCAAAGGATCACCTACTTAACAATGCGTGGCATACTAGTATCCCTTTTAAAATTTCCTTTCTTTCATGGAGACTGTGGAACAAGAAACTTCCTTTTGATGAAACCATGAATAGATTTGAGAGAAACACAGTTTCTAGATGTAATTGTTGTATCAACCACTGGGTATCAAGTATCACAACTGGCCTATCAGGTATCTTCTAAACTCATCGTGGCAATGTAAAGCTACTAATACAATTCATAAATTTATTTTGCAGGCACTTCCAATTATAATTTGCTGGGAGATTCGGAAGGAAATTTGTGCTTGCAAGTATGGTGATCAAAAACGGTTTAAGCTTTTCATAATGGAACAACAAATTAGTTGGACTCTACAACTAGCTATCAATAAGGAATTCCCTAATTGCAACCTGCATTACCATGTATCAACCTGTGTGATAAAATGATGAGAATGCAACCTATCCCAAAGTGTATTGTTTTTTGGTGGCTAAAACCTGAAACATGTACTCTCAAATTGAATACTAATGGCAGCTATATCATTCAAACTGGCAAGGCTGGAATAGGTGGTATTTTAAGAGATGAAAGTGAGGTGTGTATCATGGCCTTCTGTTGTCCAATCACCTGTAGCAGTAACAATGTCGCTGAAGCTTTAGCTGCCGAGTTTGGTGTCAATTGGTGACTGCATAATGGATACATGAACTTTGCTTTGGAGATGGACTCTCTAATTGTTATTAATATGCTCAAAAAGGAGACTACCAACAACTACAAAATGAAGAGGATAGTTGATGTAACTTCACAGAAGTTGAAACATACTAATGTCAAGTTCACCCACTGCTTTAGGAAGGCCAATTATGTGGCGGATTACTTAGCAAAGCATGCAAGTAATGGTGATGAAGCTTCTCTATATCTCTCTGCTATGCAACTTCCGAGAGGAGCCATAGGATCTTACTAATTGGATAAATGGTAGATGCTAAGCTTAAGATCAAGGTTCGACAAGGCCAACCTTTTTGTTAGCTAAATCGCATTACCGATTCGCAGGGTATAGTTACTTTTGCCTACCACTACCCTATTTTTTGTAGGATAAATTTTTTATCCTATTTGTTATATTTTTGGAGGTAAGGTCTAGTCCCCCTCTTGTACACTTCTTCCAATTAATACAACTCCCCATACAGCTGGAAAATTTTATTAAAAAATAAATAAATTAGTACATGTATTAGAGCATGGACACATTGATGTACTTTGAAAGATACAATGTCTAATAGTACCATCTATGTACCTTGAAAGATGTAAGATGTGGACTTAGTTACTATATTTACGTATAGTGTAGGATAGATACATGAAAGATTTCTCCTATAAATAGTCACGTATTCCTAGCCATATGGTGCAAGTCAAGTTGAATAGAAATTATCCTTTCGTGTACTTTCTTCTTTGTGAGTTTTAAGTATTTTTTTGTGTTGTCTTGCTCTCCCAAATATTCTAACATTGTGGTATCAGAGCCAGTGTCTTTGAGGGGCATCCAAACTTGGAGAGAAAATGACAAATAGTAATGGAACTCCATTTCAAATTCATATGCTCACAAAAGAGAACTATGGAAATTGGTGTATCCGGATGAAAGTCTTGCTTGGTACCTATGATGTTTGGGAATCGGTGAAAGTCGGAGGTGATGGAGTGGAAGATGATGATTCCTTTAAAAATAAAGATCAAAAGACGCTCACTCTCATCCATCAAAGTTTGAATGACAAGATGTTTGAGAAGGTTGCAAATGCAACCACCTCAAAGCAAGCATGGGAGATTCTTTAAAGTTTTGAATAAAGTGAAGAGTTCGTCTCCAAACCTTAAGAGGAGAGTTTGAATCATTGCATATGAGGGAATCTGAATCCGTTTCGGATTATATTTTAAGAGTTTCGGCTATTGTCAATCAAATGAAGAGATATGCTGAAGATTTGAGTGATGATAGGGACGTTGCAATAATACTACGATCCCTTGATTTAAAATTTAATTATATTATTGTGGCTATTGAAGAGTCCAAAGATTTGGATACCATGACCATTGAAGAACTCACGGGTTCTTTGCAAGCATATGAAGAAAAGTTGAAGAAACCGAAAGAATAATCGG